AACACCCCAGAGGACAGGATCACACTTCAAAACGACCTTGACAGATTAGAGAACTGGGCCAAAACAAACAAGATGAATTTTAACAGGGAGAAATGTAAAGTATTGCACTTGGGCAAAAATAAATGAGAGGCACAAATACAAGATGGGTGACACCTGGCTTGAGAGCAGTACATGTGAAAAGGATCTAGGAGTCTTGGTTGACCACAAACTTGACATGAGCCAACAGTGTGACATGGCAGCTAAAAAAGCCAATGCAATTCTGGGCTGCATCAATAGGAGTATAGCATCTAGATCAAGGGAAGTAATAGTGCCACTGTATTCTGCTCTGGTCAGACCTCACCTGGAGTACTGTGTCCAGTTCTGGGCACCACAGTTCAAGAAGGACACTGACAAACTGGACCGTGTCCAGAGGAGGGCAACCAAAATGGTTAAAGGCCTGGAAACGATGCCTTATGAGGAACGGCTAAGGGAGCTGGGCATGTTTAGCCTGGAGAAGAGGAGGTTAAGGGGTGATATGATAGCCATGTTCAAATATATAAAAGGATGTCACATAGAGGAGGGAGAAAGGTTGTTTTCTGCTGCTCCAGAGAAGCGGACACGGAGCAATGGATCCAAACTACAAGAAAGAAGATTTCACCTAAACATTAGGAAGAACTTCCTGACAGTAAGAGCTGTTCGACAGTGGAATTTGCTGCCAAGGAGTGTGGTGGAGTCTCCTTCTTTGGAGGTCTTTAAGCAGAGGCTTGACAACCATATGTCAGGAGTGCTCTGATGGTGTTTCCTGCTTGGCAGGGGGTTGGACTCGATGGCCCTTATGGTCTCTTCCAACTCTATGATTCTATGATTCTATTTTGTTGTTGTTTAGTCGTGTCCGACTCTTCGTGACCCCATGGACCAGAGCACGCCAGGCACTCCTGTCTTCCACTGCCTCCCGCAGTTTGGTCAGACTCATGTTTGTAGCTTTGAGAACACTGTCCAACTATCTCGTCCTCTGTCGTCCCCTTCTCCTTGTGCCCTCCATCTTTCCCAACATCAGGGTCTTTTTCAGGGAGTCTTCTCTTCTCATGAGGTTGCCAAAGTCTTGGAGCCTCAGCTTCACGATCTGTCCTTCCAGTGAGCACTCAGGGCTGATTTCCTTCAGAATGGAGAGGTTTGATCTTCTTGCAGTCCATGGGACTCTCAAGAGTCTCCTCCAGCACTATAATTCTTTGGCAATCAGCCTTCTTTATGGTCCAGCTCTCACTTCCATACATCACTACTGGGAAAACCATGGCTTTAACTATACGGACCTTTGTTGGCAAGGTGATGTCTCTGCTTTTTAGGATGCTGTCTAGGTTTGTCATTGCCTTTCTCCCAAGGAGCAGGCGTCGTTTAAGGATTTTAGGTATACTAAAAAAAACAGATTAGGGATGAGTGTTATATGGTTTTCAACGCTGTGATATATCAGCAGCTAAACATCGTTATTGGGTGGTTTTGATTTTGTATTTTGTGGTTTTGTATTTTGATTTTGTTCTGTGAACCACCCTGAAAACTCAGGATATAGGGCAGTATATAAATTCAATCAATCAATCAATCAATCAATCATTAATAATAATAATCTGATATATCACAATGCCAGAAGTTGAAGATCAGGTGTGAGGATGAGGGAAGGAGCAGTCACGGAGATCGCACAGGTGGGGTGCCTGCTGATCAGGCGTGGAGATGAGGGAATCACAGAATCTGAGAGTTGGAAGGGACCCGAGGGTCATCTAGTCCAACATCCCCCCACAATGCAGGAAGCAGCAGCCGCAGAGATGGGGGGGGGGAGGAAAGGAAGCGGCATCACCTCCACTGCATGGTTTGAGTGGGAGCGGGTGGGGGTGCATCAAGTAGCAGTTCGTGGGGCATCCAGTGGAGATGCACGTCCTTCTGTGGCTGCTTTCTTGCTGAGTGAGAAAAGCAAGCATCATGCCTTTGTTGGTTAAGGGACTGGATGTTGTTGGAGAATAAAGACCTTTCAGATCTGGAAGGATTTGGCAACAGATTCAGATGGCACGCATATCTTTGGTATGAGAAAGTAAAAGTTCATAAAGGATTTGGAAACCACATACAGTGGTGCCTCGGATTGCGAACAGGAGCCATTCCGGAGCCCCGTTTGCAACATGAGCAGAATGCAACCCGCGTCTCCGAGTGCGCGGGTCGCGATTCACTGCTTCTGCGCATGCGTGTGACGTCATTTTGCGCGTCTGTGCATGCGCGAGTGGCGAAACCCCGAAGTAACCCTTTCCGGTACTTCCTGGGTCGCCGCGGGACGCAACCTGAAAACACTCAACCTGAAGCAAACATAACATGAGGTATGACTGTATTTCGAAAGTCATTGTATGAGGTGTGGGACAGATATAAAAATCTATTACAACGCAAGACACCATGGTGGCTTTTGCCTCTTGAGGCAATGAGTGTAAAAAAGATAAACATGGGTAAAAATTGGGCCACCTATGAGCAATTAGTAGCAGAGATGGAGAACCAATGGAAGCTAAAACCATATGAAAATGTAAAAGGTTTGGTGAATGATTGGTTGCATCATCGTCAAGTCAACAAAATGTTTAAAGAGGATAAAAAGAAAAAATGGATTTGGATATACAAAATCAAATTTGAATTGGAGTTATTAAATAATAGATTTAAAATATTATCTAAAATGTGCAAATTATTATTGGAATGGCATCCAATAATAAAGATGTTGGTCACAATATACAAATAGATTGGGCGAAACTGTGGAAAGAGGGAATAAAATTTACTGCTTGCAGTGCACTGAAAGAAAATATTATGAAAATGATGTACAACACTAGTGAAATTAGCTGAAATGTATAAAACAGACACTAAATGTTGGAAATGTAAAGAAAAGGACAAAAATGTTGGAAATGTAAAGAAAAGTAACAAAATGCACAATTAGAAAAGATTTTAGAAAACCACCGGTCAAGGTTGAAGGAAGTCCTAGGCTGTGATAGCCAAAAAATTTGAAATGATGTTTAAAAGGATATGCTGGAAAATATGTGTAAAAACCAATAAAAAATTAAACATAAGAGAAAAGCTGCTCTGCCTCAGTGCCAGGGGAAGGTGGTGCCACAGTGCCTTGAAGTGATATTCTCCATCAGTGTGAGGGAAAGGCAGAGACTCGCAACCGGCTGCCCTGCTCTCCCTCGCATGAGGAGTGATCTGTTGCTATGTATTGCCGGGTCAAAATCGTTATTGCAGTGTGATTTCAAAACCAATTTTGGCCCATATACTGAAAAATTGCACAGCACTAAAACAGACCATACAATTTGTGATATAACCCTGCAAAAATGACAAACAAACAAAAATAGTTGGGGGGGGGAGGCAAGGGATGGGGCTGCAGAGCCCCTGGGTGCATTCCATGGGAGTCCCAGGAGTCCCCGAACCCCTAATTGGGAACCACTGATGTATAACATAGAACACGACTGCTTCATAATATGATCATGATCATGGGACATTCAGAAATTATAAAACAATGCAGCTACATAAGAACATGAATCATTCATGAAATAGAATTATAAATGAGCCTCTGACATACGTATCTTAAGTATGTATACAAACTCATTTATGGTGTTTCCTGCTTGGCAGGGGGTTGGACTCGATGGCCCTTGTGGTCTCTTCCAACTCTATGATTCTATGATTTTAAATAATTTGCATAAAGGCACAGGATTTTTTCCAACAGGCAAATCCATAAAAACCCACAAAATGACACAAGCCTTTAAAAACATGTAACGACACATCAAAGGACAGGGATGGCCTAATTTCTGTCATCTATGCTCTAGTAGCCTCTGGGTTAGATTACTGCAATGCGTTTTACATTGGGCTACCTCTGAAGGCAGCTGGGAAACTTCAGCTGGTGCAGAATTTGGGGCCCCGGTTGCTCACTGGGGCAAGATGGTTTGAGCAGACAACACTGATCCAACTGCAGTGGCTGCCAATTAGTTTCTGAGCCCAATTCAAAGTGCTGTTTTTTGTCCCAATAAAGTGTTAAACAGCAGTACCTCAAGGGTCATCTTTCCCCTATGAAGCTACCTGGACTCTGCAACCATCATCTGAGGCCCTCCTTCGTGCACCTCCTCCATGAGATCCAGAGAATTGCAACATGAGAGTGAGCCTTTCCTGGAGGGGCAAAAACATTTCTCTTCTCCCAGGCCTTTGGCAAATTAAACAATCTTTGGCCTTTTTAACTGTGGGTTTGGAGTTATTGTTTTTGTTTGTCATTATGTTATGTTTGTGTTTTTATACTGTAAAACACCCTGTGATCTTCAGATGAAGGGCGGTATAGAAATTTAATGAACAACAACAACAAATCATTGCTAATGCAGTAGTTGCAGCTTTTCTCCTTAAGTGCCCATCAAAAAGAAGCATCTTAACTAGCCACCTATATAGAGTTAGGCCCAGGAGAGCACACCAGGTATCTGATACTGAGGATGGGCCTCCAGGAGGGCCTCAGTTGCTGATCTTAGAGTAAGGGCAGGTTGATATGGAAGGGTTTTTTGCAGCAAATATAATGGAATTATTGGTCCTAGAAAGCTTGACTGGTTCCCTCACTTGTTCTTTCATCAGATGGTGAAGAGGGTTTTTTAAATTCAAGCTGTGGGTTAAACAGAGCCTAGGACTTGCCAATCAGAAGGTCGGCGGTTCGAATCCCCACGATGGGGTGAGCTCCCGCTGCTTGGTCCCTGCTCCTGCCCACCTAGCAGTTCGAAAGCACGTCAAAGTGCAAGTAGATAAATAGGTACCGCTCGGGCGGGAAGGTAAACAGTGTTTCCGTGCGCTGCTCTGTATGCCGGCTCCCTCGGCCTATAGAGCGAGATGAGCGCTGCAACCCCAAGGTCGGCCACGACTGGACCTAATGGTCAGGTGTCCCTTTACCTTTACCTATTCGTTTGTTTTACCAAATAAATAATTTCCTACCTAATGTATTTGCTTTATTTGTTGAACCTTTCTTCATCTTATATTACTTTGATGTCATTTCATTGCATTTTCTAATGTTTTACTTGCAAGTTGTCCTGAATAGCAGTGAGCACATCGGATTTTGAGAGAGTGCTGTGGATGCCAGTCACAAAGTGGGTGCCAGGAGTTGAGTGCTGCATAACACAAAATGGCTGCCACATCTTAAAGAGCAGAGAAATTGGTGCACAAAATGTTGCAGGCATGCCCCTGCATCAGCCACCCTCACCAGTGAGAGAGAAAGGGAACTACACCTGCCACCATCCCACTTCACTTGCTCTGAAAGAGAAGCCCTGCGCACCTCCCCTTTGTTCAGAAGAGAAAGTGGGCATCCACTCCTGTCACCCACTGCAAAGTGGACATGTTTGGAGTGGTGAGAGTTCAATGTAACAAGAACTGAGCAGGAAGAGCAAAAGTCTTTCATACACTTTGGATTTGTGAGGGGATATTTACTGAGACCTTTCACAGGTGCTGTAAGAGATACTGGTAGGTACACTGCTGCCCACGGGCACCATGCTGGGGACCCTAAGAAGGCTGGCATATATAATCCTGAATTGCAGCAATTATCTAACTGACATGGTGAGATTCTAGGTGTTTCCTCTTATATTCAGCCCAGGCATAGAGGGGAAATATAATTTTAAAAAAGAAATACAAAAACAGTCAACAAGAGGGGCAGCCACAGCATGTTTGGAAACAGGCCAGAAATCCGCTGCGAGGCCAGCGAAGGCGCTCACCGGCCACGCGGACACAGAGGCATCCGGGCCACGCAGGCATTTCTGATGGAAGGAAGGGGGACACTGAGGCAGAGGCGGAAGCCAAGGCCAGAGTCCGGGGGCGGAGCGCTGTGCTGGGACGCCCGGCTCTGTCAGAGGGAAGGGAGAGGAGAGGGAGGCTGGCTGGCTTCACTTCCTCGCACGGCATGTGGGGCTCAAGGAAAGACGCGTCTTTGGTGTGAGCCGAGGGGTGCCATGTTTCAAAAAGTAAAAACCTGGACCCCCCCCCCAAAAAAAGTTGTTGTGGAGCTTTTTTAAGGAAGACCCCAACGTTGCTGAGCTCTTCTTCTTCTCTATACAAAAACGTCACAAAACACCGCGATTTGTCGATTGCTTTGTCTAAGATCCCGGACGTAAACCCCGCCCTTGACATCACTTTTTGTCCGGGAAAGTCCGGACGCACGGCAGCCCAATGTGAGCCTGTCAGAAATGAAGGCGTGTCAGGACTCGGGCTGTGATCTCCTCACACGTGTTGGACTCCCCTCCCGTCTGGGCTGCTGGGCATTTTGTTTGGGAGAGCAGCTGGAGCTTCCCGGGAGGCAGGCCGCGCTCTGCTACGGCCGGGCTGACCACTCCCAAGGAACGCCCTCCGGCTTCAAGATGGCGCCTCCCGCCCGCCGCCTCTTCGGCCCGGCCATTCTCGCGAGGGCGCTGCTGCCCTGGGCCCGCCCACAGGGCGTCGCGACCAATGGGGGCTTTGTTTTATTTTTAACACCGGAACTAGGTGGGCGGGCGTCGTCTTCGGCGGCGAAGTGAAGGGCAGGAAGCGGAAGAGATCCTGTGGGGAGGCTGCCTCTCTGCGCCTCTCTCTCGCTCTGCTCTGAGGGTTGCCATGGCGTCAAGGTTACTGCGGGTGTGCGGGGCCCTGCGAGGCCTCAGCGCGGGCCGGAGTCCCCTGGGCCGGGGGCCGCTGCGCCTGACGGGGGCCGCCCGCTCCATGGGCGCCGGAGGTGAGCGGCGGGACCTTGCTGGGGTCTCTCGGCCGCGACTGCGACGGGGGCTGCGCGGAGGGCCTTGGTCTCCCGGGGGGGGGGGGGGCGGGAAGATGCGAGGGGAATGCGGGCCGCGTTGGAGGGACGTTTCAGGAGAGCAGAAACAGGGACGACCCTCACTCTTCTCCAGGGTCGCCTCCTGCCAAGGGACCCAGTGACTCTTACCTTGCCGTTTTATATTGCTTCCGTTTTCAGTTTCCTAAAAGTAGCAGAGTAGAAGAGAAAGTCCCAGGTCTCCGTTTTTAATTTTGGGGGGATTTGCCGGACTGCACAAAAACCTTAAACATGGCTCAGTCCAGAACGGAGATATTTCAAAACTAAAAATACCAATCTCTTCAGAACTTCATAGGCTTTAATATGATTTGGCACATAAAGTTAAGTTACAAAATTTATACTTTAAAAAATGATTTAAAAATCAATATGGTTAAAAATCCACCCCCCCTCCAAATGTATTAATATTTCAAAGAGCTTCCTGCAAAATTTCAACTTGGGATCTCAAAACAGATATAGGGCCTTCTCTTGTACTACTTTTAGGAAACAGAAACGGAAAGCAATTTAAAATGGTATGATAAAAGTCATTGGATCACTTGACATGGACTGGACAAAGTGGTAAATGCCAGGGGCACAGATGCCAAGAGGCTCACTGGTAGTAAAACAAATATTTTGTGTCTTCCCTGAGATAGGGAAGATTCTTTCATCCCAACAGTTCACTGTTGTTCTCTATCCTAGGTATTCCCAGTGATGAAGAACAGGCTACAGGAATGGAGAGGAAAACCATGAAAGCTTTAGAGAAGGGGCTGGTGAGTAAAAACAAGCAAGGGAAATGACCTTTATTGATAAAACTGTGTGCTCCTTTAGTATAAATGGTAAAAAACTGGTAACTTCCCCCAGAACACTGGCACTTTTACAGTGGTACCTTGGTTTACGAACTTAATCCGTTCCGGAAGTCCGTTCTTAAACCAAAGTGTTCTTTAACCAAAGCGTGCTTTCCCATAGCAGCGGGGGACTCAGTTTACAAATGGAACACACTCAACAGGAAGCGGAACATGTTCTGCTTACAAGGCAAAGGTCACAAACCAAAACACCTACTTCCGGGTTTGCAGCGTTCTTAATCCAAGTTGTTCATAAACTAAGCTGTTCTTAAACCAAGATACCACTGCAATTGGATCACTTAGAATACTTTAGACTTAAAAATGAATTTATTAGGTAGCAGCAACAGCCTGTTCCACTAAACATTTTCTCTCTTTATTCAGTATTCAGCTAAATGGAAATCAATTGAGTAGATCCCCCACAATAATTTACTGATGCTCGTTTTTAGTTTTTTCCCTTTTGTATCTGATTTTTTATTATTTTACTCTATTGTTTTACAATGTTGTAAACCACTGCAATATATTTTTATGATACAGCAGTATAGAACATTTTATAAATAAATAACATTCTGGTGCTTCCATCAGATGAGAGATGGAGACTGGTTTTTATCTGCTTCATAGTACAGTACTTGAACTGAATCTGAGAAACTGTCAGGTTTGCTGGGCTGGGTGTGGTTGAGTTCATATCTTGGCTTGGAAATCAGGTATTTTAGTGACAAACTTATACAAATAGAATAACTGGCTGGAGGGGGGGATGTCTAGGGCATTCGGCTGCAAGCTGATTTGCTGCCACAAACCTCAGGGGTGGGAAAGGCAAATAGTCAGTTACTGGGAACATGTGCAGTAATTTTTTTTGGTTTCTAAAGTGGTCTTCAACTCTCCTGCTGCTTGTAGGATCCTTACAACATGCTACCACCCAAACGATATGCTGGAACAAAGGAAGACCCCAACATAGTCCCTTCAATTACAGACAAGAGGCTTGTGGGCTGCATCTGTAAGTCTCTCTTAAATACAGAAATAGCTTCTGGCTCAGTGCTGTTTGTTCACATCATTTCAAGGGAACTTTCTTGTGCAGTCACTTATCTGTATGTGAAATCACTGTTGCCTGGGGGGGGGAAGCATCTCATTTGTGTTGAACTTCCTTTGGGTAGGCGGGAAGAATATGGCTGAAGATGTGACATGTTTGAGTTGGAACATCTGCAAAATTTGTGAAGGCAAATTGTTGGCTTGCCTGCAGATGCAGCTGAACTCTTAGACATGATCAGTGTAACAAAACAAGCCTCATAAATGGCCTCTGCCTAAAGTAGTTTCTTTAATAGCTTGAGTGGCTATTAAATTCACTCTTGGTGATTTAGTTTATTAATCAACTTTTTCTTTGTGCTTGCTCTTTTATTGAATCAACTTGTATTGCCTAGATGCAACCCCCTGTCATCATTCCTATGTACATTTTGCCAATGTGTCTGCAGTATCTTGCCTAATCTACTTTATCCCACACATTGCAGGTGAAGAGGACAACAGCACTGTGATCTGGTTCTGGCTGCACAAGGGAAATCCCCAGCGCTGCCCCTCCTGTGGAGCCCATTACAAGTTGGTTGGCTACCAATTGCCCTGATTTGGCTTCAAAGCTTTGCTGAGCTCTCTCCATTTATGATTTCTGGATACAGGGCTGAGCTACGTAGCTGTTTATGTCACGATGTATCACATTCCTTGAAACCTAATAAAGTCTTTGACTCATTGTGTGAATGAATTCTCTTTATGGTCTAACCCAGCTGCTAAAACTAGCTGTGTGTGCCTTGGAGCTTTTTTTCTTTACTGTAGCTGCTCTTGTGCTGGAGCAGAAGAGGGTGGTGGTATTCCTCCTCCTTTTTTTGAGTGAGGTACAGCTCTTCTGGGAGGAAAGTGGGTGTCACTTCTCTTGAAAGGGCAGCTGTACAAATCTACCAGCGACCTTAGTTCTTTTATCTCTAGATATGTGAGCTTTCTAATTTTTAGCATTCTAAAGCTGAACAGACACTACTTACAACCAGTTTGATAGCACACTAATGCAAGTAGATAAATAGGTACCACTGTGGCGGGAAATTAAACGACGTTTCCATGTGCTCTGGCTTGTCAGTGTCCCGTTGCACCAGAAGCGGTTTAGTCCTGCTGGCCACATGACCCAGAAAGCTGTCTATGGACAAACACTGGCTTCTTCGGCCTGAAAGCGAGATGAGCACCATGCCCCGTAGTTGCCTTTAACTGGACTTAAACATCCAGGGTTCCTTTACCTTTACTTTTACCTTACAGACCAATTTAGCCTAGCCTCCAGGAACCAGGAGGAGAAAATGTGCTAGCTAACTGATCCAAGGCTGGGAAGCAAGCAAAACTTGGTGGGAAAGTGACCCATGGCTTCAAGGGAACAGATTAGTTGGAAGAGTCATTGCTGATGCTGCTTGAAAGAGCAACTTAGGTTTGCGTGGGTACATGGTTGCACTTTGGCATCCAGCAATATATCTTAAGCTCAAGCCATTTCCCCATCTCTCTTGCTTCAGAGAACATTCTCCAAAACTATGACATACTTAAGCAGTCCCTATGGAAGATTGAAAACATTCTTCATTAAGATTGGGTTCTTGGCCAAGCATGTGGAAACTTGCTGTTGGTCACATTAACAGTACAGGCCATCTTTGTCTTGTAGGGATTGTTCAAACCCTGGTCCTGCATCAAGATTCCTGCCGTATTCAGCTGGGCTGCTCCAGGAAGGCCACATTACCACCCCCACAAAAGAGAGGTTCCCATGGCTCATGCATGTCTCGGAGAAGCCCCTCTCCCATTACTTATGAAGAAATCTTAAGCTGCTAAGTAATCTTTCTAAAGCTCCATGAAAATACAGGTTCCTTTCCTTCAAGCAACCCTCCCTCTTTGTGTCTTCATTAGAACCACAAAAGCAGAGGATGTATCTTGTCTAGCACAATTTTCCTCATTTGTTCCTAGTTTCCTTTTCCCAGTAAAGGGTTTTTAGGCATTTTTGCCCATGTGAACATCTCCGTCTGCCACAATATAATCTGTGCAGCTTGTTTTGAAACTGCATATAGCCTATCACAGCTGTAAGAGATTCTGGCTCCCCAGCATGTTTTCCACATACAGTAGCCTATGAAGCTGCTGACAAGCATGAACCCCTTTTAATAATAATTTATAATAATAATAATTTATTATTTGTACCCCGCCCATCTGACTGCGTTTCCCCAGCCACTCTGGGCGGCTTCCACAGAAAACAAAAATACACTAAAATATCACACATTAAAAAGTTCCCTGAACAGGACTGCCTTAAGATGTCTTCTGAATGTTAGGTAGTTGTTTATCACTTTGACATCTGATGGGAGGGCGTTCCACAAGGCGGGCACCACTACCGAGAAGGCCCTCTGCCTGGTTCCCTGTAGCTTTGCTTCTCGCAATGAGGGAACCGCCAGAAGGCCCTCAGCGCTGGACTTCCGCGTCCGGGCAGAACGATGGGGGTGGAGACACTCCTTCAGGTATACTGGGCCGAGGCCATTTAGGGCTTTAAAGGTCAACACCAGCACTTTGAATTGTGCTCAGAAACGTACTGGGAAACGTACTTTTAAGCAGTTTACACCAAAACACACCTTTTGTATGGCTTTTGTCTACACATATGGTTGTATTTTCACCTTGCTTTCTCTTCAGCAGTTCAAAGCAGCTTTTTACCTGTTTTGTGTGCAATGTCTACTGAAAAGGCAGAGGGATCAGTATCGGATATCTGTAGAGCCATTTTGTCCATTAGCCACCTATCTCTTGACCTCAGTCCTTGCTCTAACCCTTCACCTTTTCAAAAACATGCACTGGTAAATTTAGCCCTATGTGTTCCTAGTGTATATTGGGGTCCACAGAAGTCTCCTGCCTGTGTTCTTGTATGCCCTGTTCCCAATTAGTCACAGTAAAGACACCACACCACCTTTGAGCAATGACAGCAGTCTCAGACCCATGCAAAGCCACTGGCTGTTAATTTATAATTATTACTATAATGAATTTACAAAATAAAAATACAGGCAACTGTGTTATTGTACATTGCAGCCCGGGGGGGGGGTGTATAGTTTTTTGGAGGGTGGGGGGCTTTGCTCTTGTCTCCATTTGGTATAAGATCACGACAGGTCGATAAGATGGAGAAGCCAATATACACACACTTGGAGGGGTGGAGCCATGGGCCCACCAGTCAACAGGGGGTCTCTTAAATTAATTCATTTCCTTTAAAAAAAAGTTTTTAACCCTTTCCAGTCCAAGGCTACAAAGAGCATCTATCTTTGCAATGCACCTGGAGTCAGCAGAAGGCAGCTGAGTAGCTTCCCATCATCTTAGCTCTTGTATATACTTTGGCTGCCACAGGACAGTCCTCCTCCCACGTTCTGCAATCCCACCCAGTGCGATTCTCTACATACCCAGCATGGCCTGGCAATTTTTAATGGAACAGCAGCAGAATCGGGACCTTAGGCCAAGCCTATGCACATCAGAGAGTCCGTGAACAAGGAGGCCCAGCCACCGTTTCCTACAGAGAGCAGAAGGATAAAAGGGGTGCAGGGAGAGGGGAGCACAGCCCAGCGAGAGGAGCAGGCACTCCCAAGAGGGGCAAGCTGGAGATGCAGGGCGCACCTGTAAGTGTGGTAGCTCAAAAGACAGACAGGTGAGAGTATTCCTCCTTATCTTCCCCCTGACTCGGACTCCAGCAGAGTGCTAGGCCTGGAGAAAGGATTTGCAGGCCCCTCCAACTGCGGTCATCCCATCCTGTCTTGTCCAATAGCCAGTTTGCAACATTCTCTTGCATTACATGAGCAGATCAACTCTCAAAAGGGGGACGCACAGACAACCTTCCTCCTCCTCTGCCATCACAGATAGTCCCTTCGAAGCTGGCTAGGCCACACTGCAGAAGCCACCAGGCCCAGAAGATGTCACGGCTGGACTCTTCTATCTCCTGCTGCCTCACAGACTTCTAACCGAAACTAACAGCATGCTGACCCTACTCCCCTGGGACTGGACAGGGCAGAGACGGTGGGGAGAGACCCCTGCCCTATTTCCCTTCCTATACCTCTTCCTCCAAGAGGTAACCAAGATCCTCTTTCTTACCAAATCTGGCAGTCCATGAGAGCGGGGCGGGTGGGTTGCACTGAGGCAAGAGTTCCTCAGCACTCCTTGAAACACCTTGGCACTGAGCCCTGAGTGAGGCCCTGCCAGGAGGACCTCTCCGAGAAGCAGGCTGCAGACCGCTTGGCAGACACGGCCACTCAAAAGGCAGGGGAACTTGAGGGGGACGATAGCACCTCCTGGCCTACACCTTTCCTATGCTTTAGGCAGGCAATGCAGCTGCCCCAGGCAGTCACATCAACAAACTGATTTATTCCTTTTGGGGGGCATCTGAACGTTTGAGATTTCCGCAACAAACCGTGGAGCAGGCAGGCAGGCACCTTTCCCCAAGGGCAGGGCAGCCAGAGGCCGCACAACAGCTCCTTGCTCAGCTGACAGGCACAATGAGCACCAGGTCAAAGCAGCAGTGAGGCTCATGGAACAGATTAGAAAGTGGAATGGAGCTTGAGTTTCCTTCCTGGCTGGGGCCGCTGCCCTCCTCCACCACAGCCAAGGCCTCGAAATACAGCTGCACCTCCCTCCCAAGGGGGTGCGTGCTAGCAACATGCATCGGACAGGGCACTAAGACAGGAAAGCGTGAGGCCTGGGAAGAAGGCAGGAATTGGCCCCAGCCAGCAGGGATGCAGCAGCCCTGGACAAGTAAGGGTTAAGAGAAAAAAAGACACAACCTGGATGAGTCGCCCACAGGCACCAGCTGCCTTGCTGCTGCCCTGCCCCCCCGCCCCTGCCCTAGAATGTCTTCCGATGGATGGCCCGGCTCCCGTCCTCTTCATACTCCTTCTTGGACACCCACATCTTCTTGAACGTGTCCAGGGAGGCGAGAATAGAGCCACTGTGGGGGAAAGAGCACAGAATCAGCAGGCCTGGCCAAAGGAAGCAAGGCATGCAAACAGAGGAGAAATGAAGGGCCCGCCCACCGATGCAATTGCTGCACAGAGAATGCCCACCAGAGATGGTATAACCCTCGCTCCTGATCCAGGACATACGGCTCCACTGCCACTCACAACTTGGAGCCAGTTCATTTTCTGAAACTAACCCAAGCACAGGAGAACTTTCCAGATGGAAGAACAGGAGCTGCCTCACCCAACCCAAGTTCATGCTGCAGTATCAGGCTCCCTGTGCTGAGAAAAAGCCTCTACATCACAGCCCTCTGTTTCTGTGGAGGCCTCAGTGCACGAAGGACAACTTGACCAATTTTGCTAAGCCCAATAGGAGCACCTGATGCGAGGTGCTAGAGGGGTCAGGGGTTGTTTTTATCCCTCCCTGCAGAATGCTCTTACCCAATCCACGTAGAGTATAATCTCTCCTGAGGTGCAGAGATCTGCAAGGAAGAAAGCACAAATCAGAGACATAGCCTCCGGGGAACAAGGGTACATGCGCACACAGGAACTGCCGTTCTGAGCACCAGAGCCCAACCCCTCCTTTCACTGGAACATCACCTGCTAAGATGCAGGAAACACATTATTTCAAACATCTGGAGATCCTTGCCTTTGTAATAAGAGAATGCATCCTCCAGTACAGAGCTTAGCAACTTAAGAAAATTCAGACACTTTGTGTTTCCCTTTAAAGAGCGAGTTGTCAGCCTTCGTTATGGAGAGTGTATTGGAAACCAGATCACTCTGCTCCTCCTCCACCCACCATGGTCACTGCACACAAACTGCCTTGGGGCCCGGAGTTCCTCCAAAGCCTCACCTTAATTTTGACATCTTTTGGAGCGAGTTTCTTCACCTCGCTGAGCAGCCGGTCTCCAAAACCTGAGGAGTTGAGAGACAAGTGAGGAAGCTTAGAGTTCAAGGCGCTGTACCATAGAGGTCAAGTATCGACTACATTTCATGTTGGTACATCCCAAACATCAGTGCCTCATCGTTCCAATGCTAATCCCAAAAAGGACTGGACACAGTTCGCTTTTCAGCATCTCTTCACAGCAGAAATGTCCCCGTCCTTCCGCCCCTTCAGAGGCCAGGTGGTGGTGGTGGCAACTTTTGTTTCCCTGGCCAGGTTTGGCAGGCACAAACTCTTCTTGTCTAAAGCTCAAGTGAAGACCTTATTCTCTGAGGCTCTTTGTGAGTGATGGATGCAAACGGCTTTCGATGATTGCTTTCTGCTATTTTATGGCTCTTTTTTATTCTTTGTTCCACCTCCCATCCTTTAGAAACTGTTTTAATGCTTTGTTCTGATATTCTCATGAATCACTCTGAATGTGTTATATAAAAAGTGGAATAGGTATTGTATAAATAAAGTAAACACACTCAGAATCTGTAGAGAACAGGGCCTGGGGGAAGCCACAATTCTGATTCCCAAATATGACACTGAACTTGTTTCGTTAAAACAAAAAAGCCATTCACTCTCTGGCTTTCAGAAAGGGAAAAGAAAAACTAAGACAGTATTTGCCTAATACACAAAAGCCAGAGAAAGCCTGGATGGCGTTTCTGGTAATCACTTCCCTGCATCCCACAAAAAATATTAATATTGTAATAGGGACACTGCCCTCCGCTTGGGGCAATTACACACTTCTTGTCTTGCCTTAACATTGATTCACATGCAGTTAGATGAAATAGACTGTAGAATCCTGATCCAAGTTTGTCTGCATGTTTGCATTGTGTGCATATTCATTCCTATTCATGTACTAATATTTAGATATTTATCTAGTATCCCTGCACACTTTGGATATACTGTATACCCTGCCCCATTTAGCAGCTCGGGTGCCCATGAAGATCTACGAATCTCCAATTTAACTGCTGTGTTGGCAGATTCTGCTATAAGACAACTCACTCTGGGGAAGCGGGTGGGAAGCTTTTTGAGTCCCAGAAGTTATTCACAATTAGCCTCCATCCAAAGTTAACTGGGCTAATTTGGCCTCCACTGGAAACCTAATGTTCTACATATGCTCCTCCTCGCCACCACCTTTGGGTGTGTGGAACAGGACTCCTTTATCAATAGTGTTAAGTAATTGCTAGGGCTCCTCACAATACCAACACTATTCTTGATTTGTAGGATACGCCAAATAAATTGGGGGTAGACCAGTAAAATTGTAGTTTTTAACACCCCTCCCTCTTCCAGGTTAACACATCTTCCTGAAGTCATCTTGCTTGAAGGGTTCCAAGATCCTGGTGCTTGATCGTCTGCAATGTACACCTGTTTTTCAGGGCAAAAATGGTCCTCCAGAGGACTGGGAAGTGCAGAGGGGACTTGGATATGTACTGACACAGGAAGAAGCAGAGACTCATCCCAAGAGTTACATGCTCGGCTGAAAGCAGGGCATGAGACTGGGTGTGCCAGAGGTTTTAACAGTGCAAGCTTTGAAGCTTTCACACAAAACAGGGCAGCAAGAGAGGACACAGAGGAAGACTATTGTCAGAAACCCAGCCTCTTAATATCAGCACTTTGTCTCCTACACATATCAAGAGCTCACTGGAATGATACATGCTTTACATACACAAGGTCCCAAGTTCCATTCCTAGCATTCCTCAGCTAAAACAGATCTCATGCAGGATCTGACTGGCAATGGTTCTCCACAGTCTTAACCAGAGTTCATTCACAGGCTGAGAACCTTTCATTCAGGCCTCTCCCAATAAGAATAGACCATATGCAGCTAGTTGGACTATCTGACAATTCATGGTGTGAAGCAGCCTCCTCTTATAAGACAAACAAGCTCTCTACCTCTTCTGGGGAGCCCCCATACCTTTAAAAAGTGTAGATCCTCCAGACAGAACAATATTCCCAAATAATGTCCGCCGCAGGTCCATGTCAGATTTCTGAATAGCAAATGCTAGCACTTCATGGATCCCCTCGCTTTCATCTCCTATTAAGTCCGGCTGGAACAGCAGCTCAGGGGCTCGGAACCGGGATGGACCAACCTGCCAGGAAAGCCACAGTGCCAATCAAAGTAGGGCAAGGGGACAAATAAGCTCTACTTCAACCCACAACAGCTACAGCATTCAAAAGACAGTCTTTTTTGTCACTAGGGGGTTCTGCAGTTTGTGTCAACCACCTTCTTGTACACAGCATGAACGTTGCAAAACTTCTCCAGAAATAATTGCAAACACCTCTACTGCAAAATGCAATGTGAAGAAGCCCCAAACCTCAAGATTTCCTGCAAGACCCCTTTTCCAGTTCAAAAACTTACATCTAAAGTGCTTCCATCAGGCAGCGTGTACTGAACCTTCTCTGTCTCCAGGGCCTCATCCTTCTGAGGGTTGATGGACAAGTAACAAGCTCTCTGCAAGGAGGAAGGCAGCATGTGAGGCAGCTGGGTACTGGAAGCCACTTGCTAGAAGAACTCCTAGCAGCTCCACCCACCCAGGCCCACAGCGAGCTAACTGGACAGAGGGCCAGAATTCAAGCCTCCCCTCTGCAGATGCACTTTCGATCATGACATAGACCAGTTATCTTGCACAATCTCATACTACAACCCAATCCAGGATAGTTCACCCAAATTAGCGAACTATCCTGGTTTTCTTGCTCTCTGCAGACAACCACATTGTCTTATTTTATGGACAGCATGTAGCAAATTGCTTCAAGAACTTCCTAGCTCCCGCATTTGTCTTCCATGGCTACAGCTCTGAAAAGCTGTATACATATACCTGAGGATGGATACAGAATGTGTGAAAAATTGACTACAGGTGGTCGCACTGCTTAAGAAGCACACAGTTTTGACTCATTAAACTCAAGAGTTGCTTGCCTCTTCAGTATATGATGGAAATGTCAAAAAGAAACCCCTGGTTCATCAGAACTTTTCTCTTTTAAGATCACTGCGACCTCAGATGTAAACTGAAAATGCCCTAGTTTAAGAGCCAGACTTGGCAGCATCCAGCTGGGAAGACTGTCAGAGCACTGCTCAAAAATATCCTCTTTCTGATTTACAAGGCTCTTATGGAACATTCTCTGAATCAATCGGCCAGTTACTGCTCCAATTCTACAGAGGAGTGTTTAAAGAAAGGGGTCACCTGGAACTAGATTTTTAACAATTTAGAGGTCTAGTCCAGTGTGCTGCTCAGTAACCAAAAACACCTTATTTAAATCCTAGGACTGTCTCTCGGCAGGAGCAGGATATTCCCCCCCCCCCAATGGCAGGCATGTATCCATCTGCCCCAACCTCACCTCCTTTATTGTCTTCACGACTTCAAACTCAGCTGAGGTGTGGAAGTCATAGCCCTCTTTTCGTAGCAGCAGACGGAGGTAACGGGAGACGTCTCGCCCAGCAATGTCTACGCGCATGATCGAGTGAGGCATGGCAAAGCCCTCGTAGATGGGGACCGCATGTGTCACTCCATCCCCTGCATCCAGCACCACCCCTGTAGTGCGGCCAGTGGCGTAGCTTAGAGAGAGAGAGAGAGCAGAGGGAAACAAGAAGGGTAATTAGTTCAGGACTTCTTCAAACAACTATGGCATGCGCTCTCACAAGATGCAGTAACGGCCACCAATTTGGATGGGTAGAAAAGGGAATTAGACAAATTCATGACGGACACGGCTATGAATGGCAACTAGCCATAACAGCTTTCTACTGCCACCGTCGGAGGCAGTATGCTGGGAACTACAAAATGACTAAATGAGCCTTTGGCCTGATCCAACAGACAGGCTTTTCCTATGTTCTTAGTCTGGCCATGGCCCTCCAGAGCACAGGAAACAGATTAGGCTCAGAAGAGAAAAGTATCCAAAGTCTTCTGGTCATCACAGTGAAGCAATGCCAGAAGCAACCACCTCCCCAACCTTCCAGCAGGCTGGATACTCACAGGCTGAGGACAGCTTGCATGGAGATGAAAAGAGCTGGAACGTTGAAAGTCTCAAAGAAAACCTCGGCGGCCTTCTCTCGATTTTTGCTGGGGTTTAGTGGGGCTTCTGTCAGGAGAACTGGATGCTGGAAGGAAAGCAGGAAGTGACAGTCGTGGGGAAAACTGGCTGAATGCCCACATGCTATTCACTGGAGGAGGTCCACACACTCTTTCCTGGTAGCCTGCTCCAAGTTCTGCTAAGCTGCCCTCACAGAAGCCCCTTCAGGAAGTGATGCTCTGGTTTTACTACTAGAAGCCGTTGGCTCCTAAAATGATACACACATTAAAATGCTAAATGCAGCACATCCATTAAAACTGAGGGAACTGTTAAATGTTCTGTCGACCTTTCTATCAAACCGCTCTTCTCCAGGAATAATTTGATCCACTGATGTTGCGGAATACAGTGTCCCTCCCTCCAAGTCTCCTCAACTTCCCAGCAGACCTGCATCACAACAGCCAGAAGTGTGGCTGCTGCCTTTCTTCAGGATTAGTAAAGAACCAGCACAAGGACCCAGAGGGTGAAGCACCTTCATACCTGCCCACCCCAGAAGGAATTCAAGGTTTCCTTCTGAGAATCAACTTGCAGGGAACGACAAACATCTTTCCAGGGATAGGGTGAAGGTTTAATTATCTGTTAAGATATGCCTCTAGTTCTTTTCCCCTTGAGTTAAAGAGATTAAAAGTCCACAAGTTAAACACAGAAAATTAAGAAATGTCTCCTTGACAGGCACCAAAAAAACACCAGCCAGAAACTATTTTCCTAGGAAGGGTGAACAGTCATAGGCCTGGAAAAAACCAGGCATGCCCTGCCAAGCTCCGAGGGACCACCACATTGCTGATGCAGAAAGAAGCTGGACTTTGAATGCTCATCAAGCAGTCCTCCGTCCCCAACGTGAGCAAGACTGCCTCCTCAAGGCCTCCTGTGGCCGGAGAGGTTCGTACAGAAGAAGGTCCTCCTCAAGGCATGAAGGATCAGACTGTGAAGGTCACCCAATGGATCAGTAATAACACTCTCCAGGACTGACAGTAGAAGATAGTCACCTTCCAGCCACATCTATCCCAAGGCTGCCTTTTGCCTCAGAGATTGTGCAGGCTCACAGCTTACAGGTGAAAGGGATTTCCACCATGTTTCCCATGACCCTATTTTGGCAGGAGGAGAGTCTGAGAGCATCATCACTCATGTTTCCTTTTGGCACTTGACCAGGCTCCGAACTGGGAAGCAAGCAAGAGAATCACAAGCCAAAGCAGCAGTACTCAACTTACTATGAGGAGGGGGGATGTAGATTTCCTTAATGAAATCCACACCTCACCCCTGGACTGCCTGCATTGTAACTGTCTAAAACAGAAGCTAAGGGGAAGTGTCACATAAAGGTACAGCAAATGCAATTTCCCAGCCCCCCACCTAATGCTAATATTCAAAGGCTGGCTAGAAGCATTGTTCTTGCAACTATTACCTCTTCTGAGAACGTCTGCAGCTGATCTTTGGAATAAACATACTGCCAGATCCTCTCCATGTCATTCCAGTCCCGGACAATGCCGTGTTCCATGGGATACCGGATAGATAACAATCCTCTATGCTCCTGCGCAAGGAAAGAGTAAGCAATGTGTTGGAGCAAGAGCATTTTGATCAGGAGGATAATGGCATGTCCCCGGTACTCAATGGCTTTGGGGTGCAGTATCACAACCCACAATGCTTCTGTGGGGGAGCCTGCCCCTTTGGGGATTTCTAGCTTGCTGGACTCAATGCCTTCTTTGACATACAGAGTGACACTCCCTCCGGTATGTCTTTCCTATAGAGTTTACATGTGGAGGTAACTGTGTCCTCCTGGTTCTCTGCACTCCACCAGGATGCCGTTATCCCCACTATATCAGTGCTGTCTGCTAAGACCTAGCACTCTGGTTTGCCCATCTTGGCCAGGAGTCTTCTAACCTTAGAGCTTGCACACATCTGGACAGGCTCTCTCTTCCAAGTCTCTTGCATTTTAACTGTGGTGCTTTGGTCTCTCTGAGCTGCCATCCTGTGCCCCTGCACTCACAGTGCCTTGCTCTATGCCACCCCATTTAAATTTTCATCAATTTTATGTTCTTCATCCTAAGGGAGATTTGTTCTGAGCCAGACCCTCCTCCGCTCCTGTCAGCCCCCCACCACACAATGCCAATCGGTTTTAAAACTGCTCTGCCACCTTTTTTCACTTTGGGCACAGCAGCCTGCTTCTATCCTGGCTCAAGTGGAGCCTGTCCCTTTTGTACAGGCCTGGCTTCCCTCACCATATTCCCCAACACCCAACAAATCCAACTCCTCCTCTCGACTCCACTGACTCACCCACTCATTGAAACTACAAAGTTAGTCCTGCACATGGAACCAGTAGCATTTCAGAGAAAGCTACCTTAGAGGTCCCAGCCTCCAGCGACCTAAATTTGGCTTCCAGGATCTCATGACTACATTTCCCCATGTTCTTAATACCAACATGCGCCACTAGCTCCTCCCCAGCACTCTCTACTAGGCTATCTAGGCAATGTGCAACACCCACAACCTTTGCAGCAGGCAGGCATGTATATCCATCACACGCCCAATTATCTATGTTCTTAATGATCTTTCTACTTTAAGTGGGACTTTGTTAGCTACAACCCTACGGGATGACGGCTGCAAAATGTTTCTGTCAAACGCAAAGGTAATACACACAAAATAGGGAGTCAACACCCCCCCCTCCCCCCAAACACACACAGAGGCAAGGTGGACTTTACCTCTGCTTTGGGTCCAATGAAAAGGTCTCCTTCCAGCGCCCCAGCCATAACCCGGACATGTTTTGGACGGCCCACACTGACAAGAAAAAAGAGACTGATTATCTGTCTACACTGCCAGGTTGAGTGTTATGAACCATGGCAAGTGAATTTAAAACAAAACAAAAACAAAGCCTCACTAAGCACATATTGTCTTCAAAAACTACCACACTTTATTATTGATGAGGCAATCAATCAAATATCACAGCAACACTCACTAGTTTGGGAAGCAGTATTTGGGGATCTGATCTCCAGCAAAACCAGCCTTCACCACACCGGAACCCTGAAGAAAGAAGAAAAACCAGTTAAGAGAGAAAAGGAAAAGACTTTTCAGTGCAAGACAAAGTCTGAGAAACATTTCCTAAAACTCATGAGGACTGACCAGCAGCCATTACTTCAAAACTTACACCATGAGCTCCGTTCCTCTTTTGGGTTTAAGTCACCTTTCAGCTTCTATTTAGTTCCTGAGTCACCACAGATTGAAAGATAACCTGCACATAACTTGCAAAGCACTTGAGGCATACAAATGCCTCACATAAGTCCTTTCCTTCCAACATTACCAATGGGAAGGACCATAACTCAGTGACTGACTCCATGCTTCACACAGCATGCTGAAGTCCCTGGAATCTCCAGTTACGCAAAAGGCGGGGGATGATCATGGCCTGAGAATCCAGAGAACATTACTAGTCAGAGATGACAGTTCTGGGATACGGGGTATGAGGCAGCATCCTATGTTTTTCATGAGTAGGGCTTAGTACCAAAATTCCTAGCCTGCTGGTAAAACCAAACCACTCTGTAAAACCAAGGCCAAGGCCCATACCAATTACAACCCCACGGGGGCATAGACTGTGGCCGCCCACAGCTTCCTCCAAGCCAAATTAAGGGCAATTAAAAGAGGAAGGGCTGCAGACAAGATTAAGAGATCTCAGATCAGAGGTCTGCCTCCAAAACCCTGGAAAGCTGAGTTTAAGACCCTGATTAGATGGCCCTCTGGCCCCACTCCCAAAGGGTCAAAATCACTGCTTCATCTCAGAAATGTGGAAGCCAAGGCAGAGGGAGTGCAGGGAAATAACTTCCCATGGCGCAAGAATCCAAACCAAGAATAGAAGTTGAGCCTGATTTTCTTTCAGTCACAAGATCTGCCTCTTAGTTCTCCAGGCCAATGACAAAGATTCCCAATGGCTGTGTAGAAAGGCAGCCAGTCCCCCCACCCCGGCCTAGTGACAAGGCCCACGATTCAACACCTTCTATGAATGAAAAGAGAACAAGTGCCCCCCAAAAGTGAATAGCGGTCAGTGAAAAACCCTACTGTGCCCATCCTGGAGGATCATGTAGCAGCTCAGCTGTCTAGTCTTGCCAGCCTCCAAAAGCAGCTATGAGGCTGGGCTGCTCTCATTCCTGTTCCTAATTATTTCTTCGCAGCATGAATAAGCAAGTCTCTTTCGCAGACACACCCCAGCAGTGGGCATAAACAGGCCAAAGACCTTTACATGGAAAACAGTCCGAAGACAAGAGCTATCGGAAGACAAGAGCCATCAGCAAAGTCACTTTCCTAGAAAATCCAATGCCAGACACTTCTTCTGTGTTCCTCTTCTTGTACCTGTACTTTTATCCGAAAGAAACATGGGGAGCCTGGAAACATTACAGACATGGAATTCTCCAGGCACCTTTCCATTCCCAAGACTATGAACGCTCCTACAAGTTATATCTTCAACAAACATACCCCCAAACAGCTAAAAATAGTTTTTAAAAGAGTACAGAAAACAAGTTTAAAAGCAATAAATACAAAATTAATACTGAAGGCAGAGAGCTTTTTGTCTACCTGGAAAACTTTTCAAAACAAAAATGTCTTCCATTGTTTCTGGAAAGTACAGCTAGTGAGCACATGTCATCTCAAAGCTGAAGAATGGATCCAGATGGCAGTACTTTGGAAAATCCAGAGTTTGGTCAGTATATATAAGGATTCTTTCAGGCAAAATTTGCCTTTATAGTGTTGGAAACCATCGCTAGACAGCCATCAGACAAAAAAGAGGACGTCCACAGTTTTGCCACCGCATTACATCGCATCTCCATCTCTGACAAGATTCAATACCTACACAATTTTTCTCCATACATGACATGCATATGCAGTGGAAAATTTTCTGTGAAAACAAATCCAAGCTGGAACATTTTCTGAAAATATTTCCAATCTTTATTTTTCTAGGGTACATTTTCCATTCATAAGGTCTTTAGCAATAATGAATAGATGATAACTGCAAATATAATAATAATCATCATCATCCACCCATCTGACTGAATTGCTCCAGCCACTCTGGGCGGCTTTCAACAAAACGTAAAACACAGTAAAACATCAAACATTTAAAAATTCCCTATACAGGGCTGCCTGCAGATGTCTTCTAAAAGTCATATAATTGATGTCTTCTAAAAGTCATATAAATCTGATGGGGGGGGCATTCCACAAGGAGGGGCCACTACTGAGAAGCCCTTCTGGCTGGTTCCCTTTACTTCTCGCAGTGAGGAGCATCTCAACCAGGGTCACTGAAAGTGGTTGATATTGACCCCTCTAGGAACAATGGGGCTATGCAGGGTTTGAATAAAGACATTGGGTCTGGAATGACCCTGGGGTGGAAAAGAAGTTTATGAGTTATGGTGCAAAAAAATCAGAAATTCAGAGTCTCAGAAATAAAGGGCATGGTATGGTATACAAGGTATGGTATCATTATTTTTTGCACTTGTTTTCCTTCTTTATTTTTTACATATTATGATTCCTACAAACGGTGAATGCAAGAGTAGTAAGTGACAATATAGTTAAGCCTTCAAGTAAGCTGGCTGAGGTGACCTACCTAAGTGGCAGATTTTCGGCTGCCGTTTATATTGTGGGATGTGACATCCAATGCTGCTCAAACAATGGGGCTTCACCTTCTTCTCCTCTCCACTTGTCTCCTATGTGCCCTCAAAATCTGCTCTGGATGGCTACAGCAGTGTTTGGAGGGTTGAGGAGGTGGGAAAAGGATAAATTCCCACTGCATGAGTGGAAGTCCACTCCCACAATGTTGGGTTCCACCCACTATATTCTTACAAAGTGTTGGTGCTGACCTTTAAAGCCATAAATGGCCTCGGTCCTGTATACCTGAAGGAGCATCTCCACCCCTATCATTCTGCCTGGACACTGAGGTCTAGCACTGAGGGCCTTCTGGCGGTTCTTTCATTGCGAGAAATGAAGTTACAGAGAACCAGGCAGAGGGCCTTCTTGGTAGTTGCGTCCGCCCTGTGGAACGCCCTCCCATCGGATGTCAAGGAAATAAACAACTATCTGACTTTTAGAAGACATCCGAAGGCAGTTCTGCTTAGGGAAAATTTTTATGTCTAATGTTTTACAATTTTTTATGTGCTGTAAGCTGCCAAGAGTGGCTGAGGAAACCCAGCCAGATGGGTGGGGTATAAATAGTAAAATTATTATTACTACTACTACGCAGCTGTATGCCGGCTCCCCTGGCCAATAAAGCGAGATGAGCGCCGCAACCCCGGAGTTGATTGTGACTGGACCTAATGGTCAGGGGTCCCTTTACCTTACTACTACTACTACTAATATGGAGAGGAAAGATGCTGCTAAGAATGCCAAGCGCTAAGAATGCAAAGTTACTTTTAGTCCTAATCACCAAAAGCTAGTATCAACAACAAAGTTATTACACAACTTAATAACTAAGCATGATAACTTCTTAATAGAATGTGCTGTACAACAGCAATAACGGCAACAATAGCACTATGAGGAATGGTTTAGTAATGATTGTTAATACAATTCAGACTTAAGTATTATTTTGTAAAACAAACAGAAGTGCCATGACAATCCTCCAGATTCAATTCCCATAGCAGATATTGGAGTTCCAGTTGTGAAGACAAAAATCCTAGATCCTTCTTAGTCCAATTCTCTCTCTCCAGACTTTCAGGCAGAGACCCTTTCCAATCATTTCCTAACTTGATCCTTTTAACAGGAATTCAAACCTGGTTTTAAAGAATGCATGTAAAGCAAGGGGTTTCCCAACACTATAAATGCAATTTACTGTTTTAATGATTTTATGTGTCTTGCTTTGCAATGCTTACCTTGAAAACATCTAAAACAAAAAATAAATATGTTACATGACCATGATGGCTATATGCCATTTTCAGGATCTGAGTCCCCTAAACTCTTCAGCACTGGAGAACAGGAGAGCTAGTCCCTTCATGACTTGCTTGTTGGCTTGAATAGAAAAGCCAGGGGCAGCCAAAAAGGCGGCTCCCTCAGACATTGTTGACTACACCTCCTGTCAGCCCTTACCCGCAAATGGTCTGGCCTGACGGGAGTTGCAGTCCCACAACATCCCCGTTCCCCCTCCCCCCGCCCTGGGCCAGATCCAGCAGATGCTGCTGCTGCTGCTCTTAAGTCTGGCAGCGGGAGGGAAGCGGGGCCACGATCCTCCCGAGCGGGAAACGTCCTCGGCGATACTCTCTTCGGGCAGCAGCAGCAGCAAGGCCCCCCGCCCCGCCTCGCAACGGGCTGCGAGCAGCGCCTTTTCTTTTTCACGGGGCCCGATGGCCCGCTGCTTCTCCGAGGCCGAGGGGGGTTCCGGCCCGCGCTGGCCTTTCTGAAGCCGGGCTCGTCCAGCCGACTCGAGGGAGCAGGGCGCCTGGGCCTCGCCGGGATCGGGGCCGGGCGGGGCGCGCCCGCCAGCGCAGGCCCCACCCGGACCCGGCTCCTCCGCCGCCGCCGCCCGCCCCGCTTACGTTGTCAATCACCACGGGCTGGTTGGCGATGATATCGTAGGACTCCATGGCCGGGGCCGCCGCCGCGGGGCCAAGCCGGGCCCAGGACTCCGCGATGCGCCGCCGCCGCCGCCGCTGCCTTGGCCCGGGAACCACCACCCAGTGCGGCGCAACCCAGCCCGCTGCCCGCGTCCGCCGCGGAGGGAGGCGGGACCAAGCGTCGCTTCACGCTCCCTCGCCCAATCGGGACCCCCGACAGCCGCCAACAAGCCGGAGATGCGCCTGCCCGGGTGCGGCTCCGGCCTTGACAGCTGCCGAGCTATTGGCCCGCTCGGCTGCGAGGGGCGGGTCTTCCGCATCAAGCTTAGTGGAGCGGGCACGCTGCGGGAGGGAGCGGGGAAGGGGGAGTGATGTCATAGCGCGGCTCTTAAAGGGCCAGAGGCGTCGCTTTGCTCCCCGCCCTGATCTGCCGGAGGCGAGTCCGCATTGGGTGTTGCGGCTGCCTCCTCGGAAGTAAATCCCGGGGGGAAACATAAGGGTTTGCTTTCATGGAAATATGCTGAGGTCAGGATTGTGAATGTGTGGTCGAGTGAGCTACTGCTTTACCGGCGACGCACTCACACGTTACGTGTCAGAAAATCATGGTGTTCATGCAGCCCTTGACAAAGTATATATGATAAAGGAGGTCAGCGACAGGTCGCACTCTCACAAAAAAGAGGTTGCCATGACTAAGATGCAGGTCAGCCAGTGTTCGTGTCCGCCCCCCCCCCCCCCGCAAAAAAATAAAAATAAAATAAACATAAGAATCTGCTGCACCGGGCCAATGGCCCATCCATCGAGTCCAGCACCCCCTACTCAGAGTGGCCAAGCAGGTGCCCGTGGGAAACCAGGGAGCAGGACATGAGCACCAGAGCAACACCCTCTGCCTGGTTCCTTGAAAGCCCCCTAAAAACTCTGATACCCCATTTTAAAATACAATATACTCCCATACAGACTCCTTACGATGCGTTTAAAACCAAAATCGCAATTGGGTAGAAACTGTTTCTCAGGTGGCTAGTCCTAGTCTTTATAACCCTGTACCTTCTTCCAGAAGGCAGAAGCTGAAAGAAATCATTTCCGGGGTGCGCACTATCCTGCACTATCTCTGCAGCTTTCTTATAGCACCTGGAAGCATCGATTTGATCCAAGGTGGGAAGAGTGCACCCAGTTATTCTCTCTGCAGTCTTTACAACCCTGGACAGCATTTTTTCCCCCCTGACCATGCAGCTTCCAAACCACACGCACAGACCATAAGTTAATACACTCTCCACAATACAATGGTAAAATGCCATCAACAGGTCCTTTAAGAGATTGTTTTTCGGGAAGATTCTCAGAAAATATAACCTCTGCTGTGCTCTCTTCATCAGGTCTTTGCTGTTTTCTCCGTATTGGCCTGAATATAAGCCACATCTCCCCCCCCCCCCAAAAAAAATCTGACCATGAAAAGTTAAAGTGAAGTTTATATGCGCAACCTTACGGTGTGCAGCCAGGAACGCGGGGCAAACAGTACCAGGAGAACAGCAAAGCAGCGCCCGCCCCACATCTAGTACCCCGTCCTCTCCCCCAAGGAAGACAGCGAAGAAAGTGGAAGGCCGCCAGCAACGCAGTGCACCTCCCCCCGCCTAGTATGCACCCAGGAACAGCGAGCAGCTTATATTTGAGTATCCCCCCCCCCAGTTTAAAATGTGCGGCTTATATTCAGGCCAACACTGTATGTTTTTATGCATTTATTTTAAAAAATAAATTATATGCCGCTGTATCACAGAAATAGATCACAGCTATGACATGGCTCCCCAAATCAACACAGACTGTGGAAACTTCACACTGGACTTCAAGCGCTGGACTGGCATTGTGTGCCTCCCTATTCTTCCTCCAGACTCTGGGTCCTTGGTTTCCAAATGAGATGCAAAAGCTGCTCTCATTAGAAAAGAGATTTAGGGAGCCATGTCATCAGCTGGTGTTGGTCCACTGTGCTTCATTAAGTCCAGGGTCAACACAGCCATCTACCAGGAGATTTTGGAGCACTTCATGCTTCCGTCCTCACACGAGCTTTATGGGGATGCTGACTTCATTTTCCAGCAGGACTTTGGCACCTGCCCACACTGCCCAAAGTATCAAAACCTGGTTCAATGCCCATGGGATTGCTGTGCTTGATTGGCCAGCAAACTCGCCTGACCTGAACCCCATAGAGAATCTATGGGGCATTGCCAAGAGAAAGATAAGAGACATGAGACCAAGCAATGCAGAAGAGCTGAAGGCTGCTATTGAAGCATCCTGGTCTTTCATAACAGCCCAGCAGTGCCACAGGCTGACAGCATCCATGCCAGGCCACACTGAGGCAGTAACTGATGCAAAAGGGGCCCAAACCAAGTACTGAGTACATATGCATGCTTCTACTTCTCAGAGGTCCAATATTGGTCTATTTGCAGTCCTTGTTTTGCTGATTTCATTTAATATTATAATTTTCTGAGATTGTTAATTTGGGGTTTTCATCAGCTGTACGCCGTGATGATCACAATTATAACAAATAAAGGCTTGACATATCTCACTTTGCATGTCATGAGTCTATCTCATATATTAGTTTCACCTTTTAAACTGAATTACTGAAATAAATGAATTACTGAAATAAATGAAGGCCCTCTGCCTGGTTCCTTGTAACCTCACTTCTCGCAGGGAGAGAACCGCCAGAAGGCCCTCGGAGCTGGACCTCAGTGTCCAAGCTGAACAATGGGGTGGAGATGCTCCTTCAGGTATACTGGGCCAATGCTGTTTAGGGCTTTAAAGGTCAATGTTAAGTTGTGGGCGAACATATCAGACGACACAGCGATTCTTCAAACAGCTCTTGTTTATTCAGAGGTCAGAACAGAACTGAACTGAAGAGCTCAGTCAGCCTGCATATATAGAGCTCCAGAACAGTGTAACTGTAGCAACTTTCTAAAACTATCCAATCACTGAACGTCACTTTTGATCCTTCATTTGCATACAAACTATCCAATCATTGAATGTCACTTTCGATCCTTCATTTGCATAACTATCTACAGTATCCCCCTGCTGGCCCAGTACATAACACCCCTCCCCACCGAGATAAGGCATTAGTTACAATCGTAATGGTTTCCTTATATACAGCACTACACGTAATGGTTCAATTAGGCACAAAAGCATATCGGTTACATTTCACATACTTAGACCAACAGTGATACATGTCCAACAACATAGCCCTTTAAATAAGTTGGGCGCTTGGAAACTCTGCCAGACCGCTGGGGACTGGTAGCCAAGTCCAGGGGGCCACCCAATTCATGCTGAGGCTGTGGTGCGACCCTAGGTGGCGTTGAAACCAAGTCCCCTAGATCCGCTGCTGTGGATGGAACCTCTGCAAATGGAGTTGGCGGAATGTCAGGCACGGCAGTGGTCTGAGTCTGTGGTAAGTCCGGCACACCCTCTGAAGCGGCTTGGTTCGGCTCCACGCCGGCAGTTTGCGAGAAAGGTGTTGGTGGAGCCTCACCATCTGTAAGTGTCTGTTCCGGAGCCACGAGCGCAGTTGGGGGCACCACGGTAGCGTCCATGTCCCCAACCCTGTGCCTAAGCTGGTTTATGTGCCGGCGCCACAAGCGTCGTCTTCGAGTGCCACCTGGTACGAGCGAGGTCCAGTGACTCCCACTACTGTGGCTGGCACCCAAGGAATGTCCCCCACAAAGTTCCGGGCAAAGACCTGGTTTCCTGGAACAAATGACCGTGGCGTGTTGGAACAGCCTGGGGGTTCGGCCACGGCAAAGTCTGGGTGCAGCCAGTCAAGCGGGGACCTGAGGCGGCGGCCCATAAGCAGTTCAGCAGGACTCCGCCCTGTGGCCACATGAGGGGTGATGTGTTGTACGAACAAGTAGTTGGCGACCCGCTCGTGCCAGTCTCCCTGGTCCAGGCGCGCCAGTGCCTCTTTTGCCGAGCGCACCATTCTCTCTGCTTGCCCGTTGCTGCATGGATGAAATGGTGCCGTTAGGGCATGGCGGATGCCCAGTCCCAAAAGGGACCGCTCAAAAGTGCCTGACGTGAACTGTGGTCCGTTGTCGGAGACAAGGACATCAGGACACCCATGCGTCACAAACAGGCCTCGCAGCACCCGGATGACGGCCTCGGTAGTGGTGGAGGGCATCAGGGCCACCTCCAGCCATTTGGAATAGGCGTCCACCACTACCATAAAGGTCCGGCCGTGAAAGGGGCCGGCCAGATCGATGTGCACCCTCGACCAGGGTGTCTCCCAGGTGTGTCCCTTAGCTGCCGGTGGCGTAGGCCTCGATTCTTGGCACGCTTGACAGGTGGAAACCCAGGCAGTGATGGCATTGTCCATGTTAGGCCACCAGACGTAATACCGAGCCAACGCCTTCATTTTGATGATTCCCGGGTGGCCAACTTGCAGAGCCTCCAGCACATGTTGACGGAGTCTTTGGGGAATCACAACGCGGTCTCCCCACAGCAGACAGCCGCGATGAGCCGAGAGTTCATGTAGTCTGGTTGCGAATGGCTGGAACTCCGATGCAAAAGGCCCTTGTGGCCACCCCCTCCACACCCAGTTGAGCACACGGCTGATGGTGCGATCCTGGGCAGATGCGGAGGCCACAGTGGCAGCTGATACAGGCGCTGCTGGAAGATCCTCAATCAGGAGGAGCGATGAAGCAGGAGCCGGGTCTTCCACAAATGCTGGAAGAGGGCAACGCCTGAGGGTGTCGGCATGACCCATCGATTTCCCTGGGCGATGGACGAGCCGGTAGTGGTAGGCAGCCAGGAAAACAGTCCATCGCAGCTTGCGCGGCGAGAGGACCGGTGGAGTTGGATGATCACCAGCGAGGAGGCCCAGGAGCGGCTTGTGGTCGGTGATGAGGTCAAAAGTCCTGCCATAGAGGTATTCATGGAACCTCTTCACTCCAGCCACAAGTGCCAGTGCCTCCTTGTCGAGCTGGCTGTAATTCCTTTCAGTCAGAGATAGCGTCCTGGAAAAGTAGGCAAGCGGTGCTTCTCTTCCATATGGAAAACGGTGACTAAGGACAGCGCCGATACCAAAAGGTGAGGCGTCGCAGGCAAGGACCAGCGGCCTGGCTTCCCTGTACTGTACCAGCACACTGTTTGATGAAAGGAGAGACTTGACCACGTTGAAGGCCGCCGTCTCCCGATGACCCCAGGACCAAGGCGTCTTTGTGCTGAGGAGTCGGTGAAGAGGCTCAGCCACTGTGGCTTTGTGGGGCAGGAACATGTTATAAAACTTCAGCAGTCCCAGGAATGCCTGCAACTCCGTCTTATTCTTTGGGATGGGGGCCTGCTGGATAGCGCGGATCTTGGATGTGGTCGGGTGAAGGCCGGAGGCGTCGATAAGATAGCCCAGGAACTCCACCTGTGGAACGGCGATCTGGCACTTCTCCCTCTTTACCTTGAGCCCGGCCTCCTGGAACCTGGTCAGCACTGCACGGAGGCGCTCGAACAGCTGCTGGTGTGAGTCTGCAGACACCAAGACGTCATCAAAATACGGTACCACGCCCGGAAGCCCTTGCAGGAGACGCTCCATAAGGCTTTGGAAGATGCCAGGAGCCACACTCACCCCGAACTGCCACCGGCGGCAATGGAATGCCCCTTGGTGGGTGACGATTGTCTGGGCTTCAGCAGTGGCATCATCGACGGGCAGTTGTTGATAGGCTTGGGCAAGGTCCAGCTTAGCGAAGACCTTACCCTCACCCAGGGAATGCAGCAGGTGTTGGACAACAGGAACCGGATAAGCGTGCTGCTGACGTGCCTTGTTGATCATGGACTTGTAGTCAGCGCAGATTCTCACCGACCTGTCTGGCTTGACAGGCGTGATGATGGGGGTTTCCCATTTGGCGTGGTCAACCGGCTCCAAAACTCCTTGGGTGATCAGCTTGTCCAGCTGTTCGTCCACCTTAGCCTTGAGAGCAAAGGGGACCCGGCGTGGCTTTAACTTGATGGGAGCGACTTGTGGATCAAGGCTAAAGAAGATGGGCGTACCTGTATATTGCCCCAAAGTGCCGTCAAAAACTTCGGCAAAGTCTTTGACCAGACCCTCAGTCTCTGCATTAGAGATGCAGTTGATGTTGGTGACTTCCAAGCCGTGGGCATCAAACCAGTCTAGCCCTAGGAGGCTTGGCCGCTGACCTTCGACCACTACCAGTCAGAGCAGGACCGAAAAATCCTTGAAGGCGATCCGGAACCGGCCAACGCCTACCACGGGAATGTCGTTTCCCTGGTAGTCTCTCAGGTGTACACGGTAAGAGTCGAGTTGCCTTTTGGACACTCTGGGTACCAGTCTTTTGATGGTGCTCCAAGACACGATGGACAGGGCAGACCTGGTGTCAATCTCCATGTCACATGGAGCTCCTTCAATGAGCACCGTGACGTTCAGCTTGTGTCACGTAGGCGAGTCGGTTTGGCCAATCGTGGTTCCAGACAGGCAGTGGCAGTTGGTGAGAGCGAAACAGCTTTCCTTGGCAGACTGGAGTGAAGACTTGGGCTTGCGAGTCGGTGAAGGGGAGGTGTCAGACGGAGCCAATCGGCAGACCTTCGCGATGTGGCCCCTTCTGTAACACTTCTGTCAGATGCATCTGGGCTGCATCAATAGGAGTATAGTATCTAGATCAAGGGAAGTAATAGTGCCACTGTATTCTGCTCTGGTCAGACCTCACCTGGAGTACTGTGTCCAGTTCTGGGCACCACAGTTCAAGAAGGACACTGACAAACTGGAACGTGTCCAGAGGAGGGCAACCAAAATGGTCAAAGGCCTGGAAACGATGCCTCATGAGGAATGGCTAAGGGAGCTGGGCATGTTTAGCCTGGAGAAGAGGAGGTTAAGGGGTGATATGATAGCCATGTTCAAATATATAAAAGGATGTCACATAGAGGAGGGAGAAAGGTTGTTTTCTGCTGCTCCAGAGAAGCGGACACGGAGCAATGGATCCAAACTACAAGAAAGAAGATTCCACCTAAACATTAGGAAGAACTTCCTGACAGTAAGAGCTGTTCGACAGTGGAATTTGCTGCCAAGGAGTGTGGTGGAGTCTCCTTCTTTGGAGGTCTTTAAGCAGAGGCTTGACAACCATATGTCAGGAGTGCTCTGATGGTGTTTCCTGCTTGGCAGGGGGTTGGACTCGATGGCCCTTGTGGTCTCTTCCAACTCTATGATTCTATGAGTCTATGAGTCTATGAGATGGCATCTGTGAATCGACACTTGGCACGGGAATGGTTGCCTCTGCAGCTGGCACATTCCGATTGGCCCTTGGACTTCTTTTGGAACTTCCTGCACTCCCACTTTGTCTGGTGCATGTCATCGTCTTCACTGGAGGATGCCTCATCACTGCTGGCCTCTTTGTGATGCACTGGAACTGGCTTCCTAGCAAGAGGCGGGCTGCTGGCCTTGCAGATCTCCTGGGCGGAGCGTTCAGCAGCTTCCGAGGCCACGGCCTCCTCAATGGCTTTCTGCAGTGTGAGATCTGGCTTGGCGAGGAGACACCGTTGCAGACTGATGTCCCGGACCCCGCAGACGATTCGATCCATCAGGGCATTGTCTAAGTCTCGGAACTCGCAGTGCATTGCAGCCTGTCGGAGGGTGGTGGTGTAGTTGTTGATTGACTCCCCTTCTGACTGGTTCCGGTGGTAGAATGCATGGCGGGCAGCAATCTTGGACGGCTTTGGCGCGTAGTGGTTGCAGAGCTTCTCTTGAATCGTGTCCCATGGTGTTGCCTGGACTGCTTCAGGCACAACCAATGCTCGGGCCGTCTCAAACACCTCAGGCCCACAGAGGCTGAGGAATAGGCCCCACTTCCATTCCTCTGATACTTCTGTCAGCTCGTTGGCTTGGAGGTAGCAGTCGAACCGGGCGAGGTAGGAGTCCCATGATTCAGAGGCTGTCGCAAACGGCGGTAGAGGCACAAGTGAAGCCATGGTTCCTATGCCGGCATGAAGGGCGATGGATGGAATACAGTGCTCTAGCCAGAACAGTCAACTCTGAATTGGTTCTGTTCAGTGATTTCACTCAGTGATTTCGCTCAGTGATTTAGCTCAGTTCAGAGGGTGGCCGCACCTGGCTGTGCTTCGATGTCCATTGATCCCATCCTCGTCGCCAGTGTTAAGTTGTGGGCGAACATATCAGACAACACAGCGATTCTTCAAACAGCTCTTGTTTATTCAGAGGTCAGAACAGAACTGAACTGAAGAGCTCAGTCAGCCTGCTTATATAGAGCTCCAGAACAATGTAACTGTAGCAACTTTCTAAAACTATCCAATCACTGAATGTCACTTTCAATCCTTCATTTGCATAACTATCTACAGTATCCCCCTGCTGGCCCAGGGTGAGAACTTCAGTACATAACAGTCAACACCAGCACTTTGAATTGTGCTCGGAAACGTACTGGCCAATGTAGGTCTTTCAAGACCGGTGTTATGTGGTCTCGGCAGCCACTCCCAGTGATTCTATGATTGCTTGTCAGACAGAAAGGTTAGCAGAGAGCATGGCCTGCAGGCTTTGGAGCAGGCAGCTCCTCTTAAGACTAGCTCCCACATCGCTTTCCTG